TTTTTTGTGTTATAATAGTGAAGAATAAAATTCATTGGATTAGATTGACAATTTGTTAGTTACTGAAAGATAATCAACTTTAATGTATAGTTTTTGTGAAAAATAAAAGAATTGAAAATCTTTCAGATAGATATGTAATGCAATGCTTTAGTTCGTATATCTGATATTGTATAAAGAACAGTCTTTTAACAAATGTATTTTTTCGTTAAGGTCCTTCTCAAAAATCGATCTCGGACCATAAGCATCCAAATTGCATGAATCTTTCAGGATAATGTTGGGGCTAGTGAGCGATGGCTATGGTAAAATTTTCAGGCCTATATCATGATATAACTCTGTCGTATCTCCAAGATTTCTCTGTGGGCCTTCATTTTATACATTAAAATTTTTTCTTGTTTGAAAACTTGTGTCTGGGACTTGCCTCTTTCGTGGTTCTTTCTTTTTACATTCTTACTTTTTAAGCGAAGAAAAAGGACGAGAAGTTTAATAATTCAAAAAATCTCTTAACAAATGGCGTGATTCTTATAGAGGTGTTTTCTTATATGAAAATAAAAAGACTTTTTTAAAGACAGGACCATGATGAGAGGCTAGCCCTAGACACAAGCTTTCAAACAAAGAAAAACAAATATTTGACTTTATCTTTTACTATAATAGAGTTCTGCTGGTACTAAGAGATGCTGAGTAAAAGTTTTTGTCATTTATGAAAGAGCAGATGACAGGCTATTGTCCCATGTACTTATCTCAATTCTGATCATTTTGATGAAAAATGACTTTTTTTTTAGGAGGAAGCCTTAAAAACTTTGCTCATGTAAAGTTTGAAGTCAAAAGCCAATTGTTCACGTTACCACAGCTTTTTATTGAAAAATTCAGTTAAATATCGATATCTCAAGAAGGAAGACTCGGAAAACCAAATCATTCTAGACTTTTCTATTACATTCTACCACTCACCAAATGTACATTGTCTCGATCGAAATGCGATTTGACATCTGGAGAATTTCTCTTGTCAGTCGTTTTCGGCCAGGCAGACTATCTCTGACTGTCTAGAAAATTTTTAGCATGTTACACTTCGAGAAATTATCGAGAGCTCCGGTATTAGAGACTTCTATAAACTACTGATATAATGTACGTTTTAAGATATGATGCTTATAACACTTTCGTAGGGTACCATAGGCATCACATGGACAATTTTTCTAGATAAAGCAATACGGTTATAAATGAGTCCATTTTGTTTTCCTTTTACAATAGTAGAGACATAAAACTTACATAATTATAATGTTTTCAATATATATTTTTTTGATGTTTTTTTAACAAAGCAAATACGCGCATTTTTTTAATCTTCCATTCAACATGCTAAGTTTATATCTTAGATTTATGTTACAAATCATTTTCATTATCCATTGTATAGTTAATTATTTAATACTAGCAGGTAAAGAATTAAATCAATTAAAATTTTCTTTTAAATATAATTAATAATCAAAAAGATAATTCATCATCATCATCTTACAATCAATGTCAATCAAATTGGCATTATCTTTCAGAAGAAACAATCTGTATTATATTTGCAACATCACAAGCAGGTGATATTTCATGGTATAATAGTTATAAAGCATGTCAAACAAGTTCTGCACAACTTCTAACGTTTTCGAATTCAATCAAATTTCAATTAGTTCAGAAAAAAATTCATCAATTAGAATATGATAATCAAATCTATTTAGATTATATTCAACGAGGTGCTTGGATTGGAAATGCTAGTAAGATAATCATAGCAATTTATTGATCGACATATATACAGGATAGTTCATAAGTAGCTTTTTATAAAAAAAAATTCGAATATCTCCTGTCATAGAATAAATCTAAAATATCGAAGTATAAATTTTTTTCAAGCTTCTATAAAAACGAACATCAGTAAGAGTAGTCACGGTAATTCTTACTTTCACTTCATTGCACTTATGAAAAGATAGATATCTATATCAGTGATGAGAGAGAGAGAGAGAAAAAAACAGTCATGCATTACACAGCGAAACATACGATGGAATATATGCATACATGTGTCTGTTAGAGCTGTCTTAACACTTTCAGTCCGATGTGATCCATCACCGGTAGGTCACACTATATTTCAAGAAGAAACTGCATAGAAAACCGCTTTCTGTTATCTTTTACTTAGGCAGGAGGTTACACATAATGTGTCACCTGTTCTGTCTTCAGTATTTTTTGAGTTCTTTATTCCATAACATGATGCTTCTTGTTAAAACAATCAAGAAAAAAAAGTTTGTTATAGTCAGCACAGAAAGTTTTTATTTTCTTTGCTGTCAACATGCTTGCTTCTCTTGATTGTTGTTCCCTCCTTTTCTCATAGCCACCAGCACAGCGGCTTTAGACATTGAGCGCAAATCCTTCCTTTTCTTCGAGCTTGTGATCAACGAGTTTGTGCTTCGAATGACTTGTTGATTGTTGTCTCGGATCAGGTTTCAGCTTCTCAACTGGCGTACCAAGGAGTAAAGATCGCACGAAACTGCAGAATGGTCATGTCACTGGCGGCATAATTTTCCTTGTAAATCAAATAACTATTAACTACTGCGGTTCCAAATATCAATTCAAATGCCACCTTTTTATACTATTTTATAAATTGTCTGAGACATGTATAGTATGTTGGTAGTTGATCTAACAAATTATTACTTTGTCTTCTCTCGTTATAATCTAATACAACTTGTAGCTTCATAATAGGCTCATTTCGTATATTGTTTTTTTCCAGTGTCCACCATAATTGTTGAATGCGACGGTTTTGTGGATATCATCAAAACATCTCTTTTAACCTTTTACTTGATTGACTATAAGCATGTTGAAGAATATCAAGTATGACGTAAACGACTATATTATTAGGAAAAGTCCAATATAGAACATGTGATAACATACTGAGAAAAACCAGTATGTGATGCATAGATACAACTGTCTATGTGATATAGCAAAACAATGAGCCAGCATAGAATGAAAAGGACAATGAATACACACAAAAATGAATCTGTTAGAATTATTCTGTAATAAAACTAAATCGAGTTGAATGTGTTAAGCAGTGTAGAAAATAGAAATTCATTATTGAAATCAATGATCATACTTCAAAGCAATATTTAGAAATATTGTTTTTATGGGAAAAAGAAACTCTGAAGTCTCCTCTATCATTAATCCCATAGAGTGAAACAGAGCGGAGATATTCAAATTTTTTTATCATAAAGCTACTTATGGATGACCTTGTATATATGTCGTAAGCCAATCTTGGATTTTAGAACGACCTAGTCCAAACTTGAAGTTGACTTCGAATCGTCAAGACATTCTAAAATTCGTCTAGGTCAAACTAGGATAAATTTGTCTAATAACATATCTGATTTCCAGTACAAGAATGATCAATGTTATAAGTGTAACAAGCATTGAAGAAGATGACGAACGGGAGTTAGACGTAGGTCGATACTCGAATAAGAGTAATAAATTTGTCTGTGTGTCCATAGAATTATCAATGAATGATAGATTTTGGTGGCCTCACCTGTTGTATTTTATCAATCTGTCTACATGAGATATCAATGATCATTGCATCAAAAATTTATATTCGAAGCGCTATTAATGATGTCTGCTATTTAGATAAAGTAGGATGTAACACCAATCACTGTACTTGTAAAAAAACAATTAAGTTATCTGCTCAACAAAGTGTTATAAAAACATTAATTGCTGTAGAAACATAAAGGACTAAAAAAAAATTTATTGCCTACGTAGTTGATATTCATACTATGCCATTGACTTAATGAGAGTTAGTTTTAGATTGAACTGACGATTCGAAGTTTGAATTAGACAATACTAGAATTCAAGATTGACTCACGACATACATTTATATATGTATATATAAATAGAATGGTCAAAAGATAATTTATGTGATAGTACAAGTACAACAATTGAAGATCTTCAATTAAATTGTATTATATTAACAATACATTCAAATAATCAATCTTTATGTCTAAAACGAGTATCATGTAGAGAAAAACATCCATTTATATGTCAAAGTTAAAATGAAAGATTTTTCAATATAAATATCGTTTATTTATTTAGAGAAAGCAATAACTGAAAAAGAATTAATTGAAAATACTATGGAAAGATTAAACTTTTTAAAATGTCTCATAATTATATGGTGTATTATTGATATTACAAAACAGAAAAATAAAGAAAAAAAAGAAAAATATGAAGCTATGCTTGCACAACAACAAGCTGAACAATTACAAGCATATATAAATCAATGTAAGTATAGATTTTATTAAAATGAATTTTGATTAATTTCTTGTTTATAGTTGATTTTGAGTTACCCGAAGAATCGCAATTAAATGGTGAGTTTTATATTTCAACAAATCATAAACTAAATTAGGATTAATATATATATATATATAAATTGAGGATGTAATAATTATTTTTTATGTACATAGCTGATGAAAAAACTTCGACGCCGTCAACTACAGACGAATTTATATTATTAGGTAGAATAATTCATCATATTTATGTTAATATTAATATCAATTTATATAGGTTTTAGAATAAAAGAGTGGATAATCTTAATTGCAGGAGGATTTACTACTCTATTAATGATATGTATGTGTTGTACAGGACTTATTTTTATCTATCATGTAAAAAAAAAACAAAGATTACGACAATATTCAATATATCGTGATGGCAGTATTGATTCAACATATTCTACTGTATCTAGATGAATAGACAAATTTAGAATAGTCTTTAATTGTCGATTTGATTGTGATATTAATAATAAAATAAAATACATTTTAGAAAAATATTCTTTTCATTTATTTTTTCTCATTTCATTATAGATTTAGTATCTTTCATTAACTGAAACAAAAAGAGTTCATCTCAATTTTCACAAAAAAAGCAAGTGAATTACTTGATGTCTTTCTGCTTCTAAAATTCAATCAATTTCGCTAAGTATACATTTGTTTGTTGCTGGTGACATTGAAATCGGATATAATGTTAATGTCAAACATCATAATTGTAGATACAGACATATTCAACTTTTTGATAGTTCATTTTTCTCTCCATGTATTCAATTACTTCGTCATATGATTCATCATCATTTGTAGGAAATGTTGAGATCTCATATATTGTCGGATCAGGTGCTAGATAACAGACTCGGTTGCAAGGTACTAGCTCAGAATTATATTCTAAACTTAAAGTTGATAAATTGCATAATATCAAATATTCGCTATCATCTACAGTTTGCGACGTTTTGTTTTCTCTACAAATCTTTGATAAAAAAAAAAAAAAAAACTTTGATATTTTCTTCATAACCATAACAAAGCGGCATTACTACTATCGGAATTTTAAAAGAAGGCATCCGGAAAAAAAGCTTATAACTTTCGAACGAAAAGTCATAGCGACCTGCGGTTTTCAGCAATCGATAGAAGATTACAGGGGGCACCTTTTTATATAAAAATCAAGGTTTAAATAATCAGTGATTATGCAATCACTGAAAGAATAGGCTAATTATTTGGTGAAATCTCAGCAGGATAAGCTGAAACTTTCAGCATATATAGCCCCACTGTATCTCAATCTTCGCTGAAAATATCATCGATAAATCTTGTAATGACGAGGAATGGTGAGCCAATCATCATCTGGTCTTACATAAGGCACTCATTCAATCAAAATATTAGGAAATGGCCTCAACTTTTGGCTGAATAAATATCATAATCTAGACTTCATATCTATGCAATAGCATCGCACTTTGATCGTAAAAATGTACGGAAATAGCCAAAATTCGACGAAGAAATGATTTTCATACAGTAAGTATTTAAAACAAATCTTTCCAACTTTCTTAAGAGAAATGCAGAATTTAGTAATATTTTCACCGTCTCTTCTCGTTCATTTAATCAAACTATGATATAATTGCATAGATATGAAGTCTAGATTATGATATTTATTCAGCCAAAAGTTGAGGCCATTTCCTAATATTTTGATTGAATGAGTGCCTTATGTAAGACCAGATGATGATTGGCTCATCATTCCTCGTCATTACAAGATTTATCGATGATATTTTCAGCGAAGATTGAGGTACAGTGGGACTATATATGCTGAAAGTTTCAGCTTGTTCTGCTGAGATTTCACTGAATAACGAGCCTACTCTTCCAGTGATTCCACAATCACCGATTATTTAAACCTTGATTTTTATATAAAAATGTGCCCTCTATAATCTTCTATCGATTGCTGAAAACCGCAGGTTGCTATGACTTTTCATTCGAAAGTTATAAGCTTTTTTTCCAGGTGCCTTCTTTTAAAATTCCGATAGTAGTATTTTATATAGAGTTCTGTTAATTAACAAAAAGATGCCAACAAGTGTCCATTGATTGATCATCATAGTGCTAGTGATAATTAGTCTCGCTTCATTTTTATCGGCATAACGAAAACAAAATCCATAGATTATTCAAAATATCGGGATTTTACTTGGGGTAAACGAAACATCATACAGAAAATCGGAAAAAATTTTATTACATAGAAATTTCAACAAGTATCAGACGATGTGCTGTTCTCGAGATCACTGCGTTACCCCCATATGAATTTTGGATGCGAAATTCGAGTTTGACTCAAATACGAAATGCGGTAGGTAACATGTCTATCAATCAGCTGATCAAAGTCAAGGATCAAAATGATGGGTAGCTTTAGTAAAATTCATGACAACGAGAACTCCATTAACATGTTGCTAAAGGGTGTGCGTGTTAAAAAGCCTTTTCACCAGAACAACAAATCACAATATTAACTATACAGTAAGCCAAAACTTTTCTCTGATACTTTCAAACTATTGTCTCCTATGATGTGACATTCTAACTACTGTTTCTAAAATAATGTCGCCCTTCTCCAACGATATCTGTCATTTTGCATTTGTTATCATATTCTTTTGACTAAATAAAAAAAACATATAGATGTCTCATGTCTAAAGAGATACAGTTCATTTACCATTTTGTTTCTTATCACTTAAATTCAATATATAAATACATCCCCCACACCCTCACAATTACAAGGATAGATCAAAGATGTTCGAAGTTATAACAAATATCTACGAATAAATTAGCAATAAGAAAAAAAAAAGAGTAGCTAGAATAGTTTGTATTGAGAGCAAGTAGAAGACATGGATGAAGAAAAATAATAAACTATAAGAGGCAATACTGTTGGGATAATTGATCGATGACAGATTGAATACGTTGAATTTTTGGATGATCTTCAATAAGATCTTGTTTAAAGTATTTTAAAGCTTTTTTATAATATTTTCTTGCTTTTTTTAACTTATTTTCATTTATATATAGTTCACCATTATCTTCAAAAATACTTCCAATACCATTTATATTTTCTCCATCTATAATCAACTGTTTACATATATCCAATGCTCTCTTACGATATTCCATAGATTTTTCGTATTGATATTGTTTTGAATAGATCAATGCTAATACAATCAAACTACCTGCTTTCTTTATATTTAATTTTGAAGAGAGTTTGTTCAAAATTTCCTGTAACTTCAATGCATATGATAATGCTTCATCAAAGTTATTTAATCGAAAACAACATTTAGCAATAACACCATAAATATTTGCGCTATGTTCATCATTGAACTCTGGACAATATTCTTTATAGATTTCCATGGATGATTTCGTATGTTTAAAAGCAGTTTGATAATCATCTTTTTCATAATAACAACAACCTAAGAGAAGATATGTCAATGCAACATTTAATTTCGTTTCTACTTGAAAAGTTAATGATTGATTTGCAATTTCAATTGATTCAACATATTGACCTTTTTTAAACAGAATATCACCATAAATTAGATAACACAATGCAAGTTCAGTTTTATTTTCTCTACTATCTTGTTCATAAATTTTGATTGCTTTTAATGTATAATCAATTGCATTATCAAAATAATTTTTACCAAGTTCTGAATATCCTATACCCATATACATCATAGATCCTGCATAAAGGTTTTGTTTATTTAGCGATATATTTTCCAGATGAACTATTGCTTTTTTGAAATTTTCAATTGCTTTTTCGTAATATTTTTGATCCATATGACATTGTCCTATAAGAACATAACATAACGGAAGATTATTATGATCAATTGGTGCAGATTGAATAAATTTTTCATAATAATAAATACTTTGATTATAATCCTTCTTATTAGTATATATAGTACCAAGTGAGAAAAGTGCTCGAAGTATTTCATTAGAATGATTGTGTAGTTCTAATGATAGAAATTCATCTTCAAGATGTTTATCCATTTTTTCAAGATATTTATTATAAAATATTATAGCTTCATTATAATTAGACATTTGATCATATTTTGTTGCAATAAATCTATAACATTTAGCTAGAGTACAGTAATGAATTGGTGTATTATGAAAGAAACGTTCCTTAAGATTTGCTGCCATAAGTATATATTCTATTGCTTTATCAGATTCATGTTTCTTTTCATAATTGAAACCACTGTAATAATAACAATCTGTATATAATTCTTTTACATTGAATTGATATTCTTGTTCATCATTGATATATTTTTCAAATATATTAGCTGCTTTTTGTAAATGTTCAATAGCCATATCGAACATATTCATAGTTTCATAACATGCAACCATAGCATAATGAGAAAAACCAATGTTAATATCATCATTTTTTAAAATTAATAATCGAATTTCTAATGCTTTATTAACAAATTTAAAAGCATAACCTTTATCATCAATTAATAATCGATGACCAATATCAAATAAATATTGTGCTTGTTTTTCTTTTGAATTTATTTTTGTTTCACATATTTTGTAAGTTTTATCATAATGTTCACGTGCCCATTTATAATCTTTTGTTTTAGTATAAATCTTTCCAATATTAAGATGTTGTTCAATAATTTTCTCATAATTAAATGGTTGATTTTTTTCCAATAATTTTAATAATTTTAATTCATATATTAATAAATTCTCGGAAATATTCTCTTTAGTTTTTCTATCTAAATAAAATTTTTGTTCTTCTGAAGAAGTTTCAAAGAATAAATTATTTTCCATAAATTCAGTTACTTTCTTTTCATATATATTCATTCCTATCTTATCTTTTATTCTAATATAACAACCTTGTATTATAATTAAACATTGTGTATATGCTTTACGTTCTTTCCATAATGTAACATATTTTTTTCGTAATTTTTCACTTTCTTGAAAATATACAATTGTTTGTATATAATTTCCATCATCTCTATATGTAAGACCGATATTTTCATATATTTGTGCAATTTTATCATCATGATGATTACATTTACATGTTTTTGAAACATTCTGATAAATTTCTAATGCTTTGCTATAATAATTACGTGCGATTT